GATATCATGTTTGGTAAGGTGGAGGATCAGAGAAAAAGAGGAAGACCCCCAGTGAGGTGGATTGGCAAAGTGGCAGCATCAATGGGCTCAAGTGTGGCAACAATTGTTGAGGTTGGCCCAGGACCAGGCAGTGTTTTGTTCTATTTTACATAGGGTTCTATGAGTCAGTATCAACTTGATGGCGCCTAACACCAACAACATTAGACTATTTGCCTCTCTGGTTTGAATGTACCCTTTAATGGTTCCCTTTCTAACTGAACCAACTATACCTTCAAGGAATCTAAATTCTCCTAAGTATAAAGAGGAGTGCTTGGAATAATTCTTCTGGAGATGAAGGGGAAAGCAAGATATACAAATCAGAACTCATCATCACATCTGGAATGTCAGTTACTGCTCTGAGACTTCATGATGGAAATCTGGAGGTTCTCCCCCCACCACCACCACCATCAGTAGACTGCAGGCTACTTGGACCAAGGAAGCAAAGCCAAATGCATTTTTAGAAATTGCTGGAAAATTCACCTTCTACTGTGATTGATGAAAGTATCCAGGTTCAAATGTTCCTCATAAGGACCTTGGGGCACTTTGCAGAATGTGGTTTATGATTTTTTTTTTTTTTAAAGCAAAAATTCATCTGATCCTTACAGAGCCCCTTAGTGGGAAAAAGATATGGCACCTAGATCCCTTAGAGATAACTGCCAAGAAAACTCCATGAGGAAGTTCCACTCTGTCACATAAGGCTGCTATGAGGTTGGAATCAAGCCAGTTGTACCCAACAATAATCAAAAGTTTATACTGTTAAGATATATTCATTTATGACCTCATTTGATCCTCATATTGCACATGAGAAAGCTAGACCCAGAAGTTGAAGTCTCCAGACACGGAGGTGGTAAATAGCCCCGCGTCTCTAAACACGTGGCGAATGTGGCCTAACCCAACAGCCTTTAGAGGAACATATAGCCCTTCTTGCTTTTCTGCAGTTAAAATTTCTTTCATTTTCTGCTGGCCGCCTTCTCTTATTTTCTTCCATCTGAGTGGCTGGAAATGACAACAGTAAATTTATTGCTGTTTATATTCTTAGATGGCTATTCAAGATCAGTTTCCCTGCCGAGTATCTGCATTTTAAGTGATAGTCATTGAAACTTTTCTTGTTGCAAGATTAGCAGTCCGTCCTGTTAGCTTTATTTATCTTGTTAGATTTATTATATTAAAACGATAATGTCATGAATTATTCTTGGCAAGAAAAAAGGACTCATTTTCTCTCCATGAGTTTCATAATGTGAATTCGTTTATTTCCCATATGAACATTTCTCCTGTTGTATAGTATAATCACTGTAAAATAAACCCTGGACTGTGAACCACAAGATCGGTAGTTCAAACCCACTAGCTGCCCCTCTGGAAACCCTATACAGGGTCACTGTGAGTGGGAAACAACAGGAAAAACAACATTATTACTGTGGAGTCCTGGTGTGGCACTGTAGGATAAGCACTGAACTGCTCACAGCAAGGTCCACGGTCTAAACTCACCAGCCGCTCCTCGGAAACCCGATAGGGTTGCCTGTGAATGGAAACTAAGTCGGAACTCAGTGGCACGTAACAACACGACATTAGTACTGTATTATTTAAAAGAAACATCTTGTGCAAAAAAAGAAAACTTTTTTAAATGGTAAGCAGCATCCGATTTTATTTTTCATTAATAAATTTGTGTGGCGTTGTAGGATAAGCATTGGACCGCAAGGTTTGAACCACAAGGTCGGCAGTTCAAACTCACCAGCCGCTCCTCAGAAACCCTATACAGGGTTGCTGACTCAAGGGCACTTAATAAATGAAACTGACCCACAAGAATCCTCTGCACCACCGTAATCTGAACTAGTTTCATAGGCCTATGCGTATGATGAAATCTCACCATTCCCCAGTTTAGGATAAAGGTCTCCGCCCCACCTCTACCCAGAGCGCGCGCGCCCCCTGGCGGCCCGCATGGAGGAGAGGACGCGGGGAGGGTTAAGCAATGGCCTTCTAACCAAAAGGTGGGTGGTTGGAACTCACCGATCGCTCAGTGGGAGAAAGAAGAGGCAGTCAGCTCCCATAAAGATTTACAGCATCAGAAACCCTGTGGAGCAGTTCTCTGTTCTATAGGGTCGCTGAGTCTGAATTAACTCAATGACAGTGAGTGGCCGTGGGACCCTAGCCCAGAGCAGGGGGCACTCAAAAGGCAAAGTCCTACTGCCAAAAATAAACCAGGCAGCCCCCTTCCGCCACGTCCGGATGTTCCTTCTGGCTTGTTCTTGGGGTGAATGTGTCTGAGCATCGAAAGCTCGGGGTCCTAGCTGAATTTTCCCACACTTTGGTAGTCTGGGGAAATTGGCAATGAGGCCTGATGGTGCAGAGGGTTAGGTGTCAGACTGCTAACTTCAAGGTCCGAAGTTCAAACCCACCTGCTGCTTGCTGCTCCGCGGGAGAAGGGTGAGGCTGTCTCCATACTGAAGATGGACAATCTGGGAGATTCTATAAGGACTCCTTGGTTTGTGAGTGGAATGAACTCACTGCAGAGGGTTTGGGGAATTTGCAAGTGTCTCTGAGCCCGAGCCCGCGCCCAGGGGTCTCCGCATTTCCGGGAGTCTTTCCATGGTGGCGGGGTCGACTGGGGCAGGGGGTGGAGCCCGGGGAAGGGGAAGGACTTGTAATCGCTTGCAGTGAGACAATGCCGACTTTTGAACTTCTAACTACTAAGCAAACAACCCTTGTGCTCTCGCTCCCCTGTCCAAACAGAAGTTTATTGACAGGCGTTTCACAGCAACGCATAGCAACGCATAGCAACGGGCGGCAGAGGCGGTGGTGGGCCGCACCTGGCGGACGGTAGGCGTGGCTGACATGGGGTCCGCACTCCTTCCCTGGCCTTCAGCCCTAGGTGGGCGGGGTTGCGCCCCAACCCCTGGGCCCTCTGCCTCCACCTCCAGGCAGCACAGCGCCCCCTACTCCTGCCCCGGGGAAGCTCGGCTCCCCGCCCCTGACGCACCCTCACCTGCTCCATTACCCAGAGCCCGCGGGTCCCGCGCGCAGTCTCTTTCTCAATCCCTAGGCGGAATGTACATTCCGGCCCCTGACCCCCGGAAGAGCCACCCAACTGTAGAGGTGCTTCGCTCATCCTCCCCTTAGCCCTCCGGGCACCTCCGCCTGGGGTAGAATAGATGATTAGGACTAAAGGTGGCTGGAAGGACCAAGATGGAGATCGGAAGCCCATCACCCCCAGCCCTGCGGGGAGCGCCCAACTCGGTGTCCTCTAGGGCCCCAAACCTCCAACAGAGAGAACAAGTAGCCGCCATGAGTGTGCTCTTCCTACACTGCGTCTTTAATGGTCGTGTGGGGGTGGGTAAGAGAGGATGGAGGTCAGGTAACCACGAGGTGAGGTGACTCGTGATGAGGTGCTTGGTGACTCACAGAACCGTCCAGCGAAGTGGCCATGGGACCCGGAGAAAGATGAAACCGTTTGCTTCCATACAGATTTACTGTCTTGAAAACGATATAGTAGGGTCGCTATGGGTAAGGTAGTGGGTTTGGTTTGAGTATTTCATACACATGAGAAAATGTCTTGGGGAAACGGGGGAGGGGGATCTCTATTACTACTTAATGGTTCATGTTTAACTTACTGGATGTAGGGAGTATTCAGTGAGGAGAGAATGAGTCAGTATAGGTCTGAGGAAATGAAGGGGCTCCCCCCCCTTAATTCACAACAGCTGACCATTCAGATGCACATTTGCCCATAACGCCCACCCTCCTCCCCATGAGAGAACGGTACATTCCACGGTGCTAGGCAGGGCTTGGGGGCAGGGAAGGTCCGCTCAGAACGTGTCCCCTCAGGCTTCAGACCCTCTAGGGTAAAAGGACTGTCAGATAACCTTCCCAGCCCCCTCCCTGATTTTTCAAATTCTAGTTTGCAATCAGAGAACAGAATTCTTTTCTTTCTTTTCTTTCTTTTTTTTTTTTAGGACAATGTCAGACCAAAACCGAGGGGAAGAGAAATACAGAATCTGAAATTCACAAAGCTCATTTATCTCATTTCTTTTTAGAAAATATTCAGCTGTGTTCAAATAACCCCACACTTCCCTTCACCAAATCATGTCTCTCCCCCAGGATCCAGAGGACTTTGAAAACGCTGCCTTGGAAGTTACCCAGACCAGCAACCTGAACAACAACAACAACACAACAACAAACTCTTCCCTTCTTCTTCAACCCCAAGATTGTGAACATGACAGGAAGTCCAGGTTGGCTCTGGCATTTATAACACAGACATACATTCAGCACAGAGGAGCTCTGGTGACAGGCTTTCTAAACAAGGGCCTCCTTGCCAGGCCTGGAGTTCAATGAGCACTCCCCTCCCACCATTCACTCCCACCTCCCAGCCAAGCCTGTACTGGTCTGGTAAGCCAGAGAGAAGAAATACTTAGGCCACCTGGGGGTTCTGAAGTCCTGGGCCCAGGTTTCTAGCTTAGTGGACTCTGGCTCCCAAATCTTGCCTACCCCCCAGAGGCAAGAGGGGCCAGCTGGTCCTTACAAGGTAATGAAAAGGCCATAGCCATCTTGGCTCCAAGCTTGCCATTTGCTTGAGACCCTCTCTCCCCTCTTCACTGTGACCACAGATGCATCCTGCAGGTTTTAAAGGTGATGAGGTGATGGAGGAGGGGGTAGAAAGTCTCTCTGTAGCCCAGGCCTCCATTCTGCCAATCCATGGTGAAGCCGCCGGTCACTTCCTGTCTTCTCATTGGCAGAGAAAGTCAGATGGGGAAAGAGTCAAAATTCAATTTAGTGTTGTGCTGGAGGTTCCCAGCCTCACTTGTCTTTATGCCTGGTCCCCATTTATCATCCTTCAAGGGACAGGGGAGTTGCTGCACATTTTGGGGTGTGGAAAGGCCTCTCCTGAAGATTCTAGCTGAGCCAGGTCCCTCCCTCTTGGCTCAGCCTGACATTGTTCAGCTGCAGGCCTGGGAATGCTCACCCCCTACAGCTCACTGGGTGACAGTGGGGTTTAGTACACCCCCAGCTGGCCCCAGCACCCCAGGAACAGAGCCTGGCACTGAGCCCTGCAGGGAAGCCACGGGGCTCAAGGGCTCAGGAACACTTCTCAGAGGGCCTGGCGGAGGCTGGGGGGGTTGGGGGGGCTGCGGCTGTTGCTGCTGCTGCAATTTCTTCTTGTTAATCTTCCTTTCCTTAGCTCGACGGTTCTGAAACCAGATTTTCACCTAGAAATGGGAAGGTGGAGCCAAGCACAAAGGTGAGGGTGTGAGGGAACAGAGGTACAGTATTCAGTGTTACCCTGAGTCTCCCACCTAGTTCTCTCTTCATGGAGCCCTGGTGGCTTAAGTGGGTTACGCTCCAGGCGGCTAATCGCTAGCTTAGCAGCTCTGTCTAGTTCATCCATCAGACACTCCTCAGGAGAAAGATGAGGCTTTCTACTCCTGTAAAGATTTACAGCCTAGGAAACCCTATAAAGGGTTGCTAGGAGTTGAAACCAAACCGACTCAACCACACATAACCAGTCACCAGACACCAGTTCTCTCTCTGACCAGGCGCTTTCCACTAAGATCTCTGTAAAAGTCCAGCACCAGAGCCAGGCCCAAGGCCAGTTCAGCTTCATGCAGAGAACCTCCTCCCCCCTTTGCTTTCCAAACCAACAAAAGACCCCACTGCCAGCCAGTGGATTCGGACTACAGTTGTCTTGTATAAGGTTTCAGAGACTGTAAATCTTTATAGGAGCACACAGTCTCATCTTCCCCTCACCCCCAGGAGTAGCTGGTGGGTTTGAACTGCCAATCTTGCAGTTAGCAAAGCAATCTTTATCTTACATCTGCACTAGAAAACTTCTGAGCCTTAAAACCAAGGCAGCAGAAACTGCAAGAAACCAACACTTAACGTATTCCAAATGACAACCTTTGGCACCTCAGAGTTAAAACGACATGTGATACTCCTTCACCTTGAAGGTAGAATGAGAATCCATGTAGGACTTCCGGGCTGAGAATTTGTTTTGTTTTGTTTTTTTAATAGATTATATAAAGCTGTCATGAGGCAAGCCTCGTCCCTGTTTTTTATAAGCAAGGATTGATTCTTAAAATTTATATATTTTCCCCAGGTACAGTGTTGGACAGGAAGGAAATAGATCTTTTAAGAAGACTTTATTGGCTCACAAAGAATTCTGGGATAAACCAATATTCTCACGGTATTTTTTTTTCTCTCTCAGAACTTGTACCCACCCAAAAAAAGACAACTAAGGTGGAAAACCAAAATTCTAAACCAAAGTCACTGTCTCTGAGTGGACTTTGGTTTGGGATTTGGGGTTTGGGATATAGGGTTTCTGAGACTGTAAAATCTTTACGGAAGCATACAACCTCATCTTCCACCCTCAAAGCAGCTGGTGAGTTTGAATCGCCAACCTTATGGTTAGCAGTCCACTGCTTACCCTACAGAAGCTTTTAAAAAGAAGCAAAGACAAGTTGTGTGCTGCAGAATGGATTCTGACTCATAGCATCAAGCAGCACTTGGCTACTGAGGGAAAGGTCAGCAATTCGAATTCACCCAGCTTCTGAACAAGAGAAACACTTGGCAATGTGCTCCTATAAAGGTTAAATTAAACAACAAAAACGCATTGCCTTGCAGGCTATCCCGGCTCATCCATAAAGCTAAACCAAATCCAGGCACGAAGGACCCTTTTCCCATGGGCCCTGTGGGTTTCTGAAGTTACACTCTCCACAGAAGTCTCATGTTTCACCTGTGAAAGCTGTTGGTAGCAGCTAACCATAAAGTTGGCAGTTCAAACCCGTCAGCCTCTCCTTGGGAAACCCTATACAGGGTCTCTATGAACCGGAACCAACTGAACAGTACTTGCCAACAACAACAACAACAACAATCTTTATGGAAGGGGTTCTTTCCGTTCTTTCTCCTGTGAGCTCCCACCACCCGCCTTTCAGCCAGCAAGCAGCCCAGCGCTTAACCATTGCCCCACCAGTTGTTGCTGTTGTTGTTGTTATGCACCGTGGAGTCGGTTCCGACTCAGGGTTTCCGAGGCTGACTTGACTGGAGCAGAAAACCTCATCTTTCTCCCGCAGAGCAGCTGGTAGTTTCGAACTGCTGACCCTGAGGTTAGCAGCCCATTGCTCCATCCAGAGCGCCTTTAAAACAAGTAACCTGAAGAAGTGTGCTTCCGGAAGCCCTCGGGCTAGAATCCAACCCCTTTCTATGTGGATTCTAAGACCTGACTCTCTGACTCCCCCATCACACCATCCCCCCGACCTCGTGGCCGGTCAGGGTGGGGCAGGGCCTAGGCGATTCCCACCTGTCTCTCGGAGAGCCCCAGCGTGGCAGCCAGCTCGGCCTTCCTCCGGATGGTGATGTAGCGGCTATAATGGAACTCCTTTTCCAGCTCCAGACGCTGGTGGTCCGTGTATACCACGCGGTATTTGTCTTTCGTTCTGGTTTTCACTGTTGGAATACAGAGAAGTTCGCGCTCTGAGCCACGAGGCGGCCCATCAGTCATGAGTAATGACAAACCTCCTTAACCCAAGGACCATTTCTCTTCCTCTACCACCCTGGGGGGCCCTGGGTTTGGGCTAGTTCCTGCAGAGTCTGACAAGACCCCCCGCAGGGCCTTGGGGAAGGGGAGGGAGTGGGACCACCGGGGTGTGTGGCATTAAACGAACCTTGGGGTGAAATGGTTTTGTTTTTGTTTTATTAATTTGGAAAAACTAAAGCCGCATATACAAAAAACATAAAGCAACTGCCGAGTTTTGGGTTGTTTTTTTAAACCTTAAGTGAAACCACCTAAGCGCAGAGGAAACTGGGCAAAGCTGAGCGTAATATTCACAATTTAAAGGTATAAGAGGAATCTCACCTGGAAAATATCTTGAGGGTGAATGTGTGTCGGGAAAGGGTTACTTTCTGTTTGTTTTCCAAGTAGAAATTGGGGTCCAGGAGCCCCCTACGTTTGCCCCAGTCACCAGAAACCTCCCCCAGGCCCATCTGGTGGAATTTCAAGCTGGATCTATCTGGTCGTCTCCAACCTATACCGGCAGGCGGAAAACCCTACCTCTCCCACTGGAGACATTTTTCTACCTGGCTGAACCAGGTTTAGCGTTTCGGCACTTTTTCGTTTGAATCTCTCATTTATTTCTGCCTCCGCAATCCTTTCCCCTCACCCCCCCACCCCCGTCCCGGCCACACTATCCTGTCTGGTGATTTGTGCTCATTGGGATTGAGTCAACATATTAAATCTTGGATTGATTGTTTTACTGAAGGGCCTTGACAAATAGCGCCCGGCGTCCCAGCCGGGTCGGCCATGGGTCCGGCCTTGGCGGAGCCCGCGCCTGGCCCTCTTCTCCTAGGCTCCGCTCCCAGCTCTTGGGGTGGAGTTGGGGGGTTTCTGGCGCCATAACAGGTTCCATCGGCCAGTTGCCCAGTACTCCGGGCAGATCTGAGGGTCAGGGAGTTGCCTAGAGGTGTTTAATGCCCCGCAGGCCGACTTTGTTCAAGTAAAACCCTTTGCAAACCACAACAAAAGCGCCCTAGGAAGATAGAGGCCCGATCACAGGGAGCTCTCCCCAGCCGCTGAAAGGGGAACACAGCCGCAAACAATGCAGGACAAGACGATCTTATCAAAGAAAAGCCCTTTCAATGCCTTAATAACCACTGCATTCTGTTTGAATTACCATTACTGAGCAAATGGCGGTAGCGGCTTTTATCCCCCTCCCCGCCAGGCGCATTAACATAAACACGGCCCGGCAGGCGCATTTGAATGGGCACTGCGGCCCCGACCCCGCGCCAGCTAGAAGAGTGAAGAAAACGAAGAAGTCTGCAGCGCCCGCTCGGGGGAGGGCGCGTGGACACGTGTAAGCTCCTGTAGCCCACTGGAGGGGGCCGCTGGGACTCGTCATTGTCACAGATGAGGAAACTGAAAATGACACAAAGTCACACGGGGCTGGCACTAAAGGAGCCAGAAAGGACCCATCTCTTCCCAGATCCGGGGAGCCTGGCGCGGGAGAGTCCCCAGAGCCGAACACCCTAGGCGCACGCTAGCCTTGGGGTCTCTGAGTAGCTGCTGGGGTCGTGCTCTCTCGGTGTCTCCAGCGGGCCGAGGAATACGGTAACCAGGCCCCTGTGCGCACCCTGGCCCGCGCCCCAAGATTACTGGAGGCGCCCCACACCCCCTGGGAACCAAGGAGGGGTTGGAGGAGGGGAGAGATGAGAGGGACTTGTCAGAATTCATTATTGACTGCGAAAAGTCGCCACCCTCTTTCCGGGCCCTAAAAGAGACAATGGCTGGGCTGGGAAGGTGTATATCAAAGCGGGCCGGGCCGCGCATCTCCCCCCCTCTCGGCCCCCTGACAGATGATGCTCCGCAGAGGAATCGGGCTCCGGCCCGCGGGCCGCTGCCTGCCCACATTAACATCACAAGGGCGCCCGGCGCCGACCCAAGCCTTGCCACCTCAACGCGGGACATCACAGCGACCTCTCATCTGCTGACCCCGCGGCCCAGGCTCCTACTCCCCACCCCCCAAACCGGTCACTGTCCCCGAACGCCCGCGTCCTCCTCCAGCGTGCCCCAGGCAGATTTTCTAGAGCGACCGCCTGGAGGGGCGGAAGAAGGAGGCGGCTCTCGGTTCAGGGGCGCATCTTCGGAGGGAAGGGCCGAGGCACCCCAAGACCTGGTCCTATGACCTCCCTGGGAGGCCGTTTTTCCCACCCGGACGCCCCAGGCTTGTAACCAGTGAGTCCGATTCGCGAAGCCCAGAGAGAGCTCTCAACAGGAACTCGGGTGTATGTGGGCTATCATGGGCGCCAAACCTCTGCAGAGTGACCCTACCCGGGTAGCTGCGACTGCCAGAAGGCCAGAGAAGCAAAAGCGCGCACGACTTGGAGAAGCCTTCATGGAACAAAAAAGGAACTCCAACAGATCTCTTCACCACACCTATTGCGTTTCCTTCCCACCAGACATCTTGCAGACCCGGAACCAAGGAGCCCACTGGATCATAGACCTAGAACTTAGGCAGGGAAGTCTCCCGCGCGAGCTTCTTGGACGAACACACACACACACACACATTTGAGGCCTTTGCATGGAAGGTTGGGGAGAAATTACCACTGGCAGAAGCGCTGGCTGAATCCTCACCAGGTTCCTTCCCCAACTCCTTGCTGTCTCAGCAGACATGAGGGGACTCCCCGAGGCCTCTGGCTCGGCCTCCTATTTTTGCCTAGAGTAACAGCTTTTGCCCTTCGCAGAATTAAGGTTCAAAGACCAGAACGCTCACCCCACCTCTATCGGCTCCTGGGGCCCGCACCTCCTTTCTAGTGGATCTCCCTACTTGTTCTGGTTCTGAGCCATCAAAATGGCCACATCGAGCCCAGGGCAAAGCCTGGCGCGTCTCCCCTTCACCCTCAATCCAGCAAGCTCCCAGGCCAGTTCTCTTTGGGAGGGGTCAGGTGGGGAAGAAGGACACCTAGAAGAGCGGGTGGGGGCCGGCGGAGGAGTGCGAGGCTGCCAGTGGTCCGCGACCAGGAGTTGCACACCTAGCGCGCCTGAGGACAGTGGGGAGGACGCGACTCTACTCCACTGCAGCAGAGCTTACGCCAACTTTCCCGGGAGCTGCCCAAAGGCGTCTGGCGAGTGCGAATAAGGGCCCCTGGGAAAGAGAAAGGGGGTTTATCCCTACTGTCTCCTCCCAACTAAAGGGACCGCATTGTTCCAAGACCCCAAATATTTCCTCTCCAAAGAGGCCCGGAGACCATTTCACCGCTTCTGGTCTCCCACTACGCCCGTCTGGGACACCCTTGGGAGTGTGGTTGCAGGGCCCTTCCAACCTTGGTTCCCGAGGGAAGGCTGCGTCGGCTTCCTCATCCATTCGCACAGGTTCCGCCTCTGGCCGCCGGGAGACAGCTGCTCGACGGCGGCGGTGGCCGCGGGCCCGGGCGGCCCGGGGTTGAGCGTCTGCAGCAATCCGGAAGCGCAAGAAGGCGCGGCGGCCGGATGGTGCGGGTGGTGATGCGGATGGTGGTGTGGGTGGTAGTCGGCTGAGTTGCTGTAACCCATGGCCGCGGCCGGGGAGCCCCCGTTGAGGCCGTGCGCCACGGCGTTGGCAGCGGCCGCTGCGCCCCCCGGTGCGTAACCGTTCCAGTCCTCGCGAAGCGGGGCGCCATAGGCGGCGGGCCATGACGGCCCTGGGGACTGCGCGCTGTCCAAGTTCGCAGCCGCCGCAGCAGCAGCGGCCACGTGGTAGCCGCCGTAGTCGGGGTACTGCGGGGGGCTGACGAAGTTCTGCGGCGTCAGGTTCAGGCCACTGGAGTGGCGCACGGAGCTGGGGTACATGCTCACGTCCTTGTCCAGGAGATAGCTCACGTACATGGTGGCGAGGGCCCGAGAGCAGATCTCACCATGCTGCCTGGGGACGAACGCTGGTGGCTGCTGAGCGCGCGAACAAGGGCCAGGACCTGGGGGCGTGAGAGCAGCGGGTAGGTGCGCCGGCCGTGTCCGCAGGCTACTCGCGGCGCTTCAGCCTCCGAGGCGGTCCCTCCCTCTGGCCGGCCTCCTCCCACCCTCCCTCCCTCTCTTTCTTCCTTCTTTCCTCCCACCTCCTTCCCACTTGGCTACAGAGGCGGGGAAGACCCGCGCCACAGGCTGGCGTGCGGAGCCCCAAGTCGGCGACCTTACGTGATTAACGAGTGTTTACAAGACTCTATTAGTAATGACACAGACACCAATGGCTGGAGACGTCGAGGCGCAACGTGCACCCGGCGCGCAACCCGCCCCCCCCCCACGATTTGCATTTTAAAAGATAAGGGTGGGGGGAGCTCGAGAGAGGGCAGCGACCAGATCACAGCTAAATATTCAAACCTTTATTGTTAAGAGCTTCCTCCTTCCAACCTGGTGCACTTTAACCTTCAATCTACAGGTTCAAAGAATGAAATCAAGAGACTTGCAAAGAGAGAAGGAAGCTAGGTTTCCTTGGTGGGACTCTTAGGATAGGAGATCAGGACTGTGGGGTTCATGCATTTGTTGGGAGGGAAGTACCCCACAAGAAAAGGGAAACCATTGCTTTGATGAAAAGGATTGTGAGCCACCGACCCGAGGAGGTGAGGAGCCAAGCCACCGAGCTAGGTTGGATCTTTCCCATGCGGGTCCTGCGCTGTTGGCCCAGGCCTGGGGTCCCGCAAATAACTATCACAGCTGGATCATTTCTCTTCTTGCTCAAGAAAACCACCAGCCTAAACGAGATATATTATAACTCCAAAGTTTGGGCCTGAAATTTAAGTTAAAGCAACTGATTTTTAAAAGAGCATTATGTCCAAGACTTAAAAACAAAAAAAAAAGGAAATAAAGAAGAGAAAAAGCTTAAAATAATAATAATTTTTAAAAAAGCACGTGGGCAGAAGTCAGATGAGTGGGCTGCCTAGCAGAGCTGCAGACTAGGATGCCAGGTCTGATTCCTGTTCTCTTTGTGCAGATTCAATGAACTACACTTAGAGGTTTGTTGTATGTTGAATAAACAGGTAAAATAAAGGGGGGAAAGTCTAGAAGTTCTACCGATACTACACAGGTGTTTACTTAAGTCGTACAAGACTGCTAGGAGCTTCAGGTATTTATTTTTACATCTTACGTCATACTTATGTCTTAAAACACTCTCTCATATGCAAAGTAAACCATTTTCCAAAGAAGGGGACCCTCACCACTAATAAACGTTGCTTCTGAAAATCCAGCGTTGAGTGGGATATGAAGAAGGGGTGACACAGGACCCCTCTTGGTTTTTGAATCTGTGTCTGCTTGGCTAAGTGCTTGCCTCTGGGGCTGGATGCTGAGTGGCCTGGCTCAGGTGCTGGATGGCCAGGGGCCACGAGGTTGGGCTTCGCCGCGTTCCTATCTCCTTTTCAAAGACTATAGGGAATGGGACGGCGTTAGGGGCGGCCTCTTCTCGGAGTCCCAGACCCAGTTACCAGACGCGGGTGCTAGGATTGTGGCGCCGGCCCGGCGGGCTGGCTGGAAGAGTGGACTGGGTGGTTTTGAGCGTTCCAGGAACGCGCAGGCGCTAGCGCTCTCTTGGGGGAAACCTGCGCTTGTCCACGGGCATTGTCAAGCGCTCTTCTCTTGGGTATTCATCTCCTTGTTGTTACTGGAGCTCTTGCTAGTGTTCATCTCCCTTGCCCCTCACACTTCCCTCGACAAAGACTGAGTTAACACCGTCCCCATTTTACAAGTGACCTCCACCACCACCATCACCACCAGGTGCAAGGGGCTGTCTGTACACAGCTGGAAGAGAACTAGCCCGAGTTTGCGCGTTCCTGTGCTGGCCGGTACCTCAGTCCTTTGTGTGCCCCAAAGAAAAATGGGGAAACTGAGAAGGGACTGTATGTGCTTATTTGCTTGTGAGCATGTGTGCGTGGGGGGATGGGGGTAGATTCGGCTAGAGTTCTTGAAGCAGAAGACTAGAGCTGACGATACAATCGGTCCTCCCCAGCTAGACGTGGACAGTCCGTGTCATCCCACACCCCTAGAGATCAAGATGCAAAGAAATTGCAAAAATCACGAAGTGGTGATGGGAGAAAGAGGGGGTGGAAGTCCTCAGTCCAGATGAGGTGGGCGTGGGACAGGTTATACTGGGTACTGTGGACTTTTGAGCTTCTCCTTCCTGGAGACCCAATCTCTCTCTCTCTGACTCCACACCCCTCGCCCAGGCCCCCGAGCTCTCAAAGCCTAGGCTGAGGCTCGAGCCTGTGTCTTCAGAATCCTGGCATTCTTTGGAACAATCGCTTTATTGGGGACAGCCATCCCCTCCGCCCTGTAGTGGTCACTTCCTGCCTTTTTATGGCCCTGGCCGCCGGCCGCTGGCTAATTGTCCCGGTTTTCCAGCTGTGTCTCTATGCTTGCCCTGAGGGAAGAGCTCCGGTCAGAGCACACAACTCTCTGGGGAGTGGCCAGGGTTGGGGGCCCACGGACCCCTGATGGGCTGCCATGCCAGGAAGCCTTGGCTCACTTGGGGAAAAGTACCAGGATCTCACTGTAAACATTGGGCCCAAAGCAGCAGCAGAAAGAACCCTGACCATGGTCCTGGGGTATGGGTTGTTGGGTGATGATGAATGTGCCAGAAAACAATGCCCTTGGACAGTTTCTCAGAATGAAAGTGTCCCCCACATCCGGATATAGTGGCAATAATTTGGTGGCAGGGTCACCAGAGAAGGGGGGAAGTGACATGATGGGAAGGCAGTCTGTGTGGCTTTGGATGACGTGTTTTTCTGGCGGGGGCAGTATGGATTCTCTGGGCCTGCTCTGGACTGGGCGGGCTCCAAGTGCAGGTGTGCGGCCGGCCCAGCCCGGGACTGACGCTCCCAGGGCCAAGGCGCCCAGAGCAGGGTGTCCTCAGTCTTAGGCTCAAGACACTAAGGAGGGTTTCTTAGAGCTAGGTGGCCTGCCCTATGGCCTGAGCTGAAAGCACCCCAGGGAAGGGATAGAGATTGACCCCTAAATCTAACAGCCCAAGTAGACTCCATAAACAAACCATTCTTACTGAGGCTGCAGCTGGGGACCCACGTCACGAGAGCAAGAATGAGTGGCAAGAACGAAACAGACGCAGACCCCAGGTGCAGCCAAGACCAGATTTTCAAAAGGACACTTCTTAGTAACCAACACTGCAGACCCCAAAGGCCATTATGCATTCTGAGGGTGTCTGGGGCTCAGGCAGGGGCAGCTGAGGGGAGGGTGAGGGAGCAGGAGTTGGCCAGAAGGGGTGGGACCCTAAGACGAGGCGCCTTGCTCAAAGGCCCTGCTGTGTTTGCTTCAGCTTGGGGGACCCTGCTCTGCCCCATATTTGTGGCTCCTGGAAACTCGAGGCCTGTGACCCTGGCAACCCAGATAGGGTTGGCTGTCTCAAGCCACTTTAACCTGCAAGTCTACTTTGTCAATCCCTATGAGGCCAAATAACACACACCCTTCCATACACCCTCTTCTACCCTGGACAGGAAACCTTTGCCCAGCATGGTCCTGAATTCCCAGGATAATTAAGGAAGATTGAGAAGAAAGAAAATGTGCCTGACAAATGAGTCAGTTTGGCACAGTCTACACTGCCTGATGGCTCCGTAATCTGGAGTGTCTGGAAGCCATCGGCCATTGTGCTTAATTGGAGATTTCTCACCAAAGCAGGTTCAACAAAGAATAGTTTGACTCCAGCCACCCACACTCTGCCCAGCCTCAGCCAACTCACTTCACATCTCTGCGAAGGAAATCGATAAGTATCCTTTCTGCGGGGCCTCCCCAGGGCCCACCACCTGCCCAGCCCCATTAGGTCACAATGGAGCCCAATGAGTTCCTCTTGAATAGCAGGAAGGGGCTAAGGTTGCCCACAGCTGCCCAGACTTCATTCATAGGAGCAGATGTGTCCCGCCCAACTGAGTGCAACATGCTATTCGCCCAGCACACTGGGATGTCTGGTCTTCTCTACCTGGGGGAGATGTTCCTGAATTCGTGGGAGGTCTTTGATGGACCAGAGATTCTCACTCAGGGGCCAAGGTGAGGGAAGTGCTGTTGTTAAACACCATCAGGCGGTTCCCACCTATAGCAACCTTGTCTAGGATTTCCAAGGGTTTATTTAAATCTTTGCTTTAAATTTTGAAGTCCTGGTGTGGCTCTGTGGGTTAATGTGCTGGACTGCAAAGTTGGCTGGAACCACAAGGTTGGCAGTTCAAGCTCATCAGCCACTCCTCGGAAACCCTATATAGGGTCGCTATGGGTCGGAACTGACTCAACAGCTCTTAATAACAACAACAAATCTTTGCAGGAGCAGAAAGCCTCATCTTTCTCCCTTGGAGCGGCTGGTGGGCTCCAACTGCTGAACTTGTGGTTCACAGTTCTGAGCTTATTCTGTGGTGGAAGAATCCTGATGGCCTAGTGGATTACCTAGTGGGTTACTAACAGCAAAATCATCAGTTCGAATCCACCAGATGCTTCACAGGAGAAAGATGAGGTTTTCTGCTCCTGTAAAGATTTAAAGCCTCAGAAACCCTAGGCAGGGTCGCTGTGCATCAGAACTGATGGAAGGCGCAGAACCACCACCACCACTCCCTGTGAGGAAATGCTGAGCTTTCTACTCCTAGGCTTTTTTTTTCTTTTCTTTTCTTTTCTTTTCTTTTCTTTTCTTTCCTTGCAGTTCTGTCCAAAATACAACTCAAAGCTAGAGGAGCTAGAGAAATGGGAGCTTCCAGGAAAGTTCTTTAGTTGCAGACATCTGGTTTTGGTTAACTGGGTTTTTTCTTCCTTCTTAAGTTAGGGTCTGTGGGCACTGTTTGGGCATTTTGGGACACTGGAGCTCTGGTAGCATAGCGGTTATGAATCGGGCTGCAAACCGCAAGGTCAGCAGTTCGAAACTACCAGCTGTTCCACGGGAGAAAGATGAGGCTTTCTGCGCCCGTAAAGATTTACAGCCTCAGAAACCCTGTACAGGGTTGCTAATGGGTCGGAACCAACTTGACGGCACTTAACAACAACAACAACTAATTCTGTGTAGATGGATGCACACAGAGAAATGTTTGGAGGTACTTGGGATCTCAAGGCGCTTCCAGCCCAGAGGAAAACATTTGATGCTGGGGAAAAGCATGTTCTCCAGGCAGTACTAGCCAAATGTCACGTGGCTTTGACCTTCCATGAACATGTGTTCCCTCACCATTGTCTCATGCCTGGAGTGACCTTTGTTTATCATATGAAAATACCTTCCCAGGAAGCCTTACAGGGTATGTGTTCTGTAACTAGGGAACACATACATACAAGAAGTCAAGCTGGCAGCTTACAGTACAATGGCAAAACCAGCCCCATTGCAGCTTAAGTAGGAGTGGAAGGAGACCTTCAGACGCCGTACCCAATCTGCCAAGACTCACTAGCCTAAGTCACTGAGCCCACTGACCAACCATTCTCCCCAAAGACACAGCTGAGACGTTGGTTCTGTGTGCTACTGGTGGTGGTGTGCCATGGAGTTGGTTCTGACTCACAGAGATCCTGTAAAGGGTTTCTGAGGCAGTAAATCTTTACAGCAGCAGAAAGTCTCATCTTTCTCTCATGAAGCTACTAGTGGATTCGAACTGTTTACCTTATGGTTAGCAGCCTAGCTCGTAAGCCACTATATTACCAGGGCTCCTTTGATTCCGTTTTACAAAAGGAGAAATAAGAGTCACAGAGAGATTAGGGAAATTTCCTCACAGCTAGTGACTCAAATCCCTAAAATTCAATGAAAGAGTACTAGACGCACACTTGCCTTCTAACCAAAAAGGTTGGTGGTTCGAACCCACCACCCAAAAGCTCCATAGGAGAAAGATCTGACAATCTGCTTCCGTAAAGAGGACAGCCTAGGAAACTCTATGGGGCAGTTTCTCTCTATCACATGGGGTTGATATGAGTCAAAATCGACTGTGTGGCACTTAATAACAAAATGGACTTAATAACAAAATGAATTTAGCTACTCTACGTGCACTCTACAATCCAGTGCGTCCTGTACAGATGTTGCTTTTATCACTGCACATACTGGTACCTGTTTGGAAGCTTCATCTTCCCAACACAAAACTAATGAACAGGAGCCACAGAGCTACAGCTTGCTTGCCCTTGATGTTGTTAAGTGCTGTGGAGTTGGTTCTGACTCACAGGGATTCTGTGTAGGGTTTTGAAGCTGCAAATCTTTATAGGAGCAGAAAGTCTCGTCTTTGTCCTGCCTAGTGGTTGGTGGTTTGAAGACCAACTTGTCCTGCCCTCCACCAAATAGTACCGGAACAGTCCAGTTCTAGGGACATTTCTAAACACTTTCTACACCCTATACACCTCTTGCTTTTCTAGGTGCCTCCAATTGAATTTTATTCCCAAACTAATGACATGTAAATTTTCCATGAATTCCATGCTGAAAATTTCCCAATTGCCATAAATGACATTCATCTTCTGTCAGTAAAAAAAAAATTTTTAATAGGGCTTTAAATTTCATGGGGAAAGTGGGATTTCCCCACAAACGTTTGGAAGCTCCCCTTGTACTTTCTGAAATTAGCCTTTCTTTATTATGAACGGAACCTGAAATTCTGTGGCTGATCTGGAGGGAAGGATGAGGAACGTGTCAAATTTAAAGTGAGTAAAAATTATCCAAAGAAACTGTGTGCTTTTACTTTCTTTCCTTCCCATATCAGGGTCTGTGGACTCAATTTTGAGCACACAGGTCTCTGGTGAAATAAAAGGAGGAACCCGTTCAAGTTCCGGATTCTCTCCTGGGCGAGTCATAAGCTCTCTTTCAGCTCCCCAGGTCCTTTCAAGTGAAGCAATCGTCCTGCGGGGGTTTGAACATTTCAAGAGGGAGTTTAAAAAAAAAAAAAAGGGAGGAAGGAGCTCCCACCTAATTGGGGTGCGTGCATGAAGGAATCGTGGGGTGCAGGCGTTTAAACCAGACCTTCGCTCTCAGCGTTGCCACGGTTTGCCACTGTTTTTGTTTTTAACGAATTCGTAACTAAAGTGTTATTTATGTATCCCAGAATCTGTCCAGACCACTTTTGTGCTTTGCTCTGGCTGTGTGTACCCGGTAGCAAGAGATGGGGCGCACACTGGGGCACTAATCGTCGCCGCTGGCCGCTGGCCCTGGGGCCGGGGCTGCCGCATCCTGCACAGCCAAGGGCGGGACGTGAAAATATCTCCAGCAGGCCCGCAGGAACCCAGGGCGTGTCGCTGTTTGAGCCAAGATGTGACTGGAGAAGTTTGTCCCAAAGATCTGGGCAGCCACAGGCGACCATTTCTTTATTCTTCCCCGAGGAGAAAGCAAGAGTCCCCAGTGACTTTTGCAGGGCCGTTCCTAGTGGGGCACTTGGGCCCTGGTCCCCAATCCGGCGCCGCCCTCGCTGTCGCCTGCGTTTGCGTCTTTGTAAGAGACACCGAGTAACCCACCCTCCATCCCCAGCGCCTTTGGAAGGGGCGGATCCAGGACTCCCCCGCCTGCATCTCTTCCGCAGAAATAAACAATTTCCCCAACAAGGTTTGGACTGCTGAAATGCAATTGTGTAATTGGAGACGCCCGGTTCGTAGGTCTGCTACTTGCAGTGGAGCTTAAAAACGAAACGAAACGAAATGAAACAAAGCAAAACAAAATCCTGTTGGGGTCTCTAGTCCCAGCGGAGTAGTTTCTGTAGAAGTGAAGAGCAGAACTCATGTAAGAATTCGGTTCACCCCAAGGATGGGTAGGGGCCTTAGCCCAGTGCTTTAATTCCGTGTCTCTGGGACATTGCAGTCCTGGGTTAGAAAGTGCTCTTTGCCCAGCAGTAGGTTTCGTTGTGTGTGTGTGTAAGAGAGAGAGAGAGAGTGGAAAGCCCCCAAGTTACCCCAGCTGGAGGGACACTAGCTTCTAGCCCCAGGTCCCATGGCCCCACCACTGCCTGACCGCTACCCACCCACCCACCCAGGACAGGAACTGAGCCATCGTGCTCCCTCTTGGTGCACACCTGGTGCTCCTAGCACCCAGAGGAGGTGGGGAGACCCTGTCTGTGGGGTCTAGGGCACCTCCATCCTGTGTTCACCCTTCCCACTTGCAGGGGACACCTGTAAGGTGGGAAAGGGAAAGGGGGCAAGGAGGTCCTTGAGAGAACCTCCCAAAGCTCCCGGAGTGATTTCTTCCCGTGGAAAGTCCGTCTGACCCAAGTGGGCAGCTACACTTCTCTTTATGGAAAAGAAGTCGCCACTGCCACTGCCCCTGAACCCCGCTAAAGCTGGTTATGGACGGCCATCTTTGCGCTGGGGATGAAGACACACCTGCTCTGTTCTCCTCTGCCACTGAAGCTTGACTCGTCTTTGTTGACGCAGTTAGAGCCCCTTGTGTGTGTATGTGAGAGAGAGAATGGATAAATGTGGGTAAGCCAGAGGATCTCGGGTCACCGATCACCTGTGCTTGGAGCTACTCAACCCTCCCAAAACCTGAACACCAAACTCTGGAGTCCATTCGGACTCATATGGCCACCTTTTCGGACAGAATTTCCAAGGCTGTCAACCTTTATGGAAGCAATTTGTCTCATCTTAATCCTGCAGTGGCTGATGGGTTCACACCTCCAGTTAGCAGCTGAGTGCATAACCAACCACCAGGGCTCTGAAAAGTGGAGAGTTACAAGTTCCCCAGTGGGGAGCCTTCTCTCTGTCTGGGGAGATTTTCCTGGGCACCAATTTCCCTCCATTCCTCGCCTCCTCCTCTCCAGCCTTTATCCTGAGGACCTCCTTGAACGCTGCTCAAAGACTATTGCTATTCTTTTACTAAATGGTGGTTCTGCAGAGCCCGCTGTCCACCCGCTGACCTCCAGGATTGGCAGGGACCCTCCTGGCTGTGAAAACCCGTACTTCCTACCGCTGCTCTGCGCTGGGGGTCTTGGTTGCACACGCCCCTCCGAGGCTTCCAGGGCTCCTCTAGGTAACTGCCAAGTGAGAAAGCAGTTTCCGCTCACACTTAAAGGGGGGGGGCAGCAAATGAGGTGGGAGAAGGCAAAACAAACAGACGAAGCTCTGAGGAACCCAAAATTTGTTTTCTGGCGGTTTTGTTTTACAACCTGGGCTTATTATTAGAGAAGAGGAACAAGAGACGCGCTGGGGATCCACCCGGGATGGTGGTACCAGGCCGCCAACGGAGCGCAGCGCAACCTCATCTGACCACGTGTCCCGAGGGAGGTGTGGGGTGGTGGATGATCGGAGGGACAAAGAGTCTCCATAGTCTCCTTCCTTTGTGGTCGCAGGTGGAGTCGGGTCCGGCCGTCTGGCTCAGGGCCTGGTGTGGCCCGACAGGCTGGTGGCCCCTCTACAGTCGGGCGGGGTCGGCGCCGAGCAGGTCGCGGAGTCTCAGGCGGCCGATGGTCTTCACCTCGCCCAGCGCCGTGCGCAGCTCCTGCGCCGGAGGGCAGTGTAGCCGGCGCGCTAGCTCGCTCATCACGGCGGCGGAGTCGCGTAGGCGCGCCGCCAGCACGAAGGGGAAGCCGAAGCGCGCTCGATACTGAGCGTTGAGTTCAGCTAGCCGGCGCCGCTCCTCGGCGCCCAGACCCTGCAGGCCCGCGGCGCTCTGCTCGCGCTGCGACTCCGCGGTCAGCGTGCCCCGCTGCAGCTGGCGGCCCGCCAGGTCTGGGTGGCAGCGCAGGATGCCCTCTTGGCCTATGGAGAAGCACAGACACACCCGAGGCATCACCGCGCTATCCTTGCGCGCTCAGTCAGGGGAACACCAGGTGGCGTGCTGCGCGCTCGGAGAGACGCGCAGGGCACCGCTGGGGCGCAAAGGGTGGGGTGGGGCGGGGAGTAGGGGCTCAGGGGGGCACTGGAGGGGAGGAGGGACCAGGAAACATCCTGGCGGCCCAGGGGTGTCCTGTGCTCCCGCCCCTCCAACGTGTCCCAGACTTTGCGCGCCACACTCTTCGCTTCACTCGGCCCTGGCGGGGCGGAGCGGGAAGTGGCAGGTTTGTCCTTTGAGACCTTGGGGTAAGAAGAGCGGAGGGGAGAGAGGGCGGCCGCCGCGAAGGCTTGGAATTTACGACTTGCTCGGGAGGGAGCAGGAACGCGATAAGGAGCCTGGGTATTTCTAGGTTTTCAAAGTCCTTTGCTCTCAGGGGGGCTTTGATGTCTAAGGGGGCCGGACGCAATGGCCCAAAGACTTCCTGCAAAAGTCACCGAATGAGTTTCGGGCTGCTCCAAAGGAGATCGGGCAGGGGAGGGGTGGACCCACAGGACTAACATCCATGGAGCTAAGCAAATACACGCCCAGGACTTTGTGCCCCTATATGTGAGGGGGGGACTGATTACTAGAATCAGGGATTTGAAGAGACTCACGCGTGATGAGCTGCAATGAAACCTATTTCCAAAGGGCTTCCCTTCCATTTAGGAACACTGCACCCACTAGCCACTTTTCCCAAGGAGCTCTGCTAGCGTCGTGGTTACAGTCAGGCTGCTAACTTTAAGGTCAGCAGTTCGGAACTACCAGCTGTTTCGTGGAAGAAAGATGAGGTTTTCTGCTCCCGTAAAGATTTACAGCCTCGGACAAGGCATGTAACCAACCAAACACCGCACATAGCAGCAGCTAACTTCTTCCATTGTGGCTCCTCAAGAGCTGGCAGGGAATGAGGTTTTATTGGAAGAACAGTCCTCATCATTTCCTAGGCCTAACGTTGGAAACCCCTGAGACGTTACAGAGAAATCATTTCAGAGTGAGCCCGGACTCGGGATCTATAAAGTGGGGGTAATGACACCGAACTTCCTGAGTAGTCGTGAGGATTGTTGTTGTTAAGTGTTGTTGGTTCCGACCCATAGGGACCCTGTATAGGGTTTCTGAGGAGCGGCTGGTAAGCTTGAACCACCAACCTTGCAGTTCCAACGGCTTTGTAGTCCGGCGCATTAACCCACAGCGCCACACCAGGACTCCAGTGGTGAGGATTGTTGTTGTTGTTGTTATGTGCCGTGGAGTCGGTTCCGACTTATGACGACCCTGTACAGGGTTTCCGAGGCTGTAAATCTTTTACGGGAGCAGAAAGCCTCATCTTTCTCCCGCGGAACAGCTGGTAGTTTTGAACTGCTGCCTTTAAGAGGTTTGCAGCCCGGTTCGTAACCACTACGCTACCAGAGCTCCTTGTTGTGAGGGTCGGAGACCCTTAACTGACCTAAAACACAGTGCTTTGTTGTTGTTGTTTAATATCTAATCAAATAATCACTTGATTCAAAGACAGCTTGTCTGAAAGAACCTGGCTCTGTGGTATCTCTTACAAAGCAGTTATCTGGATCTGGCAATGGGGGTAGATGTGAGACTCAATTGGAAAACGGGATTATTTAATGATAACGGTTTTGGTTTTTTTTTCATCTTTAAGTAGGTACGTTAACACATAATCCAAAAATATCAAATTTGTATTCGATACAAATGAACAGAGTAGGACTGTTCCAAGGATTTGCTTGACTGTCATTTTCACAGAAAGGAGCTCTGGCATCGGAGTGGTTATGCGTCAGTCTGCTAGACTCAAGGTCACCAGCTCAAAACTACCTGCCATCCCATGGGATAAAGATGAGGCTTTCTGCTCCCATAAAGATTTACAGCCTGGTAAATCCTATACAGGGTCACTATGAGTAGGAACCGACTCAAGGGCTATTACTTCCCCTTTCACCACCATGATAGTGTCTGCTCAATTAAAAGGTGGTGTCAGGAATCCTGATAGCACATTGGGTTAAACATCAGGCTGCTAATTGCAAGGTCAGCAGTTCAAACTCACTAGCCACATCAGTCGCTCCAAGGGAGAAAAATGAGGCAATCTACTCCCTCAAAGATTTACCATCCCAGGAACCCCATGAAGCAGTGTTCCTCGGTCCTACAGGGTGGCTATGAGTTAGAATTGACGAGCCCACAATCGGTTTGATTTTGCCATCCTAAGAGGAGTCTTGGTGTGGCACTGTGGGCTGATGCATCAGACTGCAAAGCCCTTTGAACTGTAAGGTCGGTGGTTTAAGCTCACCAGCTGCTCCTTGGAAACCCTATACAGGGTTGCTATAGGTCAGAACCGACTTGATGGCACTTCACAACAACAGCAAAAAAGAGGCAATGCAAACTGGGAGTAGCATTTTCAATTAACAGGGTTTAGTGGAGGCTCAGAGGGGGCTAGGGGACCTGCCCAAGGTCACTTAGTCAGAAGCTGTGCCTGGAACCTCAGACTCCCAATTGCAGGAAACTTTCAGCTTCCGGTTCAGGATGTTTAAAACAAAACGTGTGTCACCAATAGCACTTTATCACACCACTGTTTCAGAATCCGTCTGTAGGCCCTGCCCCAGGAGCATTACAAACTTGAGTCTAATCTGAATCTCCTTCACAGAATCTGCTGTGTGTGAGTCCTGGAGACCCCCCCAGTTCTAGACCCAGCAGTACCACCCCTGTCTTTTCCAGGGTATCTCCTCAGGTCATCCCCTTGCATAGAAAGGAGATCCCAAACCATCTCCTGCAGACCCCCTCCACAGTTTCCTTCCCTCTCTCCTCTTACCAGGCTGAGCTTAAGGAGGAGGGGTTATTCAGGTTGTCTCCTTACTGACTCCCACCAGACTCCCAGGACAGACCTCCAGGCAAAGGCATCTGTTCCCTCCATGAGGTTGGCCTCCTTGTTTTTCTTGCCTTACTCACTCTTCACTCCCCTTGAGTTTATCTCCCCTCATGGAAACATCGCCTGGGGTTAATATTTGCCCAAGAGTAGCCTGCATTTTCACACTCAGTGGGGAGGAGAAAGAGAAGGAAGAAGAGAGAGTAGGTCAGGAACCAGAGAGAGCAAGAGAAGCACAACTAGTAGGGACCAGCTGGAATTTAAAAGAATAAGTCTTGACTGCCAATAAAAGGTACAGTGGATGACCTGTCCCTTCTACTGAAGACCAGACTCTCCACTTGTGCTCAGTGTTGAACATCCATTTCTCCTCCTACACTGCTCATTGCTGTCAGCACACAAACATCCCAGAAAACAAAACAAAAAATCTTCCTTTGATTCCCTTGTTACCCTCTAGATTCACCCTATTTTTCTGCTGCTTCTTACAGCAAAACATCTCAAAAGACTTGCTTGTTCTAGTCTGTTTCCTCATCTCTTATTCCAGTCCAATCTCAAGTTTTCAGATCCAGCACACCAACTAGTCTCCTTTTACCAAAATCACAGATGACCTACATCTTACCAAGCCAATCTTCTTCATTCTCAGTCTCCATGCTTGACCCTTTCTTCTTAAAATAGCCTCACTTGTCTTCTGGGACACCACTGCCTCCTTTCACCATCAATTCGTCCTCCTCTGCCAGTCCACAAATTTCAAAGTACCCCAGGTAGTGAGTACTCATACCTCTTCCCTCTTTGCTGTGGGATAATGCACCACAAGATTGGCAGTTCAAATTCACCAGCCGCTCCTCAGAAACCCTATTCAGGGTCACCCAATGGCAGTTATCAGCAACAAAAATTTCATGGTGTTAAAGGCCACCAATCCATCAATTGTTTGATGGCACTCATCTCTAGTCCAACCCATCACTTTCCACTGAGCTCCTTGGTTCTGGTCAGAGTATGAAATTTCCATTTAGATGACTAATAGGTATCTCAGACTCCGCGTACTCACATTCTCTATCCCCTCATCTCCTGAGTCTTCCTCAGTTCAGAAAATGGCACTGCCACCTTCCCAGTTCATCCAGCTAAAGATACAGGTATTATCCTTGATTATTCTTTGTTTCGGACCCACCCCACCCAATGAGTTCATCAATAGAACTTATTGGCTCTACCTCTCCAATACGTTCTGAAGCTCCAACCACATCTATTCACCTCTGCTGCTACAACCCAGTCCAAGCCCTGGACCTGAACTGCTCTTCACCATCATTCTAAAGGGTAAATCCAGTGGTCTCTCCTTGCCAAGGGAGTAAATAAAAAAATCCTTATTCTGTCTAAAAATCTCTACATGAGTTTTAGGACATTGCCACCCTGTCTTTCCTCATATCCTCCCACTAGTCACAATTCTGCTGACACCTCAGTCCTTCTGTGCCTCCATAACTGTGGAGTTCATCACGTACTCCTAGGTAAGAAGGCTGCTTCCTTCTTATCCTTTAGTTTTTAACTCAAATGGCACATCCTTAGAAGGACCTCTGTCACTGTGTACAATTCACACTCAGTATACACACTAACTAACCAACCCATGGTCATTTGGTTGATTCTAATGCATAGCGACCCTATATTACATTTTAGAGACTTTAAATCTTTATGGGAGCAGACAAGCTCAACTTTCTCCCTCGGAGTGGCTGGTGGATTCGAACTGCTAGCCTTGAGGTTGGCAGCCCAACACCACCAGGGCTCCTTTCATAATAAGTGTAGGATCTAAAATTGTTATTTTATTGCTACATTAATATGTTGGTATACGTTTATGTTACTCACCCATATCTCTCCACTCAAATGTAAGTCCCTAGTTTATCTCTAGTGCCTAGAACAATGCCTGGGGGCATAGTAAGCTCTTGATGGGTATTTATTGTCAGACATCACTCTTGAGAAAATGGCTTATACTTTTTTTTAAGACTAAATAATTGCCACAAATCAGAATGGACTCAAAAATGACTAACACCAACAAAGTGAAGACATTTGAATTGTCATAAACAGAAGGAAGTCTTTTCTATCTAAGACTAACAA